TATATAGTATATATGTATACATATATAGTATTTAGATGTATACATATATGTAGTATATATGTACATATATATGTACCTATATATATGTGTGTATATACATATGTTTTAAAAAATAATCTTTTGGTTTTTGAACAGAGGAGTAATATGGTGGAATCCAATGTGCATAGGATTCATTTGGGAATCCCGTTAAAATGCAGATTCTGCTTCAGTAAGCCGGGGTGGGCCTTAAGTTGCTGCATTAGTAACAAGCTCGCAGGTACTGATATTGCTGCTCAGAGAACCATACTGGTTAGCAAGGGCTTACTGTGTTCAATAGAAAAATATATATTTTTGGTCAATCCTGAGTTTTGCCTTTTAATAATTTACTTATTCCACTCACCTACTTTTCGATATAAAACATTCCTGTCTCTTTCCCTCTTTGAAACTTAGGCTTTAGACTTTTTCCCCTTTTTTAACTTGCTTAGTCTTCTATTTTTTGTGTAAATTACTGGACAATAGTGCCACCTACTGGCAAGAAAAATAGCTTTTTTCCTTCGTATGATATTTTACTTGTGTAAGGAAAACATTTTGAAGGAATGTATTGGGATGAACAGATACAGGGACTGCCTCTATGTCTTTCTTTTAAAAAATCCAATATTTTAAAACTCTGATTTTTTTTTCTAAATTGATACATTATTTTTGTACATGCATGTGGAGTACATATGCTATTTCAATACGTTTATGACATCTGTAATGATCAAGTCATGGTGTTTAACACATCGATCACCCCAAACATTTATCATTTCTTTGTGTTGGAAATATTTCAGATCTTCTAGCTATTTGGAAATGTGCAATATACTGTTAACTTATTGTGTCACCTTATTGTGCAAGCACTAGAACCCATTTCTTCTATCGAATTGTATGTTTATACTCACTATCCAACCTCTGTTCATCCTCTGCCCCCACCACACCCGTCCCAGCCTCTGGTAACTATCATTCTGCTCTCTATCTCTGTCAGATCCACTTTTTAAGCTCCTCTACGTATGAGTGAGAACAGGTCACTTTTTGTCTTTCTGTGCCAGGTTTATTTCACTTAACATAACGACCTCCTGTTCTATCTTTGTTACTGCAAATGACAGGATTTCATTCTTTTTCATGGTCAAATAGTATTTTATTGTGCATATACACCACATTTTGTTTTATCCTCTCATCTGATGAACAC